GGCGTCCCAAGTGGCGTCTCACCCAGCTCGCCAAACACCTGTCTTGAGGGAGACTCTTTGCACCACTGATTACAACAAGTCCTGGTCAAGCCATTCTTGAAAGTTTAGCTACTTACAAGATTGGGTTTTTGAAGGTGATAAGCATTTTCTGACTTCAAACCCTTAGAAAATTGTGCGGGTGTGTGAGCTGGAAGCAGAGCCGCTGGATGTCTGCATTCACAGCAGGTGTGTCTGGGAAGGGGTCCTCACTGCCTTTCTACTTGATGAGGAAGCTCTTGGCTCCTGCAGCTACTTGGGGAGTGAACCAGCAGATGGGAGATCTTTCTGTCTCTCCTCTCTGTAAATCTGACTTTCCAATAAAAATAAATCTTTAAAAAAAAATGCTGGATAAAAAAGACAAAACGAACAACCACAAAAGGATATCAACAGACACACCGCAGCACCTAGTCAGTTAAGGCGAAGACATTCCTCAGGACCTCTGGGTGTGTGACCGAGTGGGGATCAGAGATTGTGGACCATGTCTGTGGCCTGGCAGCGCGCAGGAGGCAGCAGCCTGGCCAGGAGCTGCAGGATTACCACAGGCTCAGGCACAGGCCTGCAGGCAGGAAGCTTCGCGCACAGCCTTGGCACTTGGTCCTTTGTTAATAACCCAGTCTACACCAGAGCCTGTGAAGTCGGAGCAGAAGGACCCAGGGAACCAGGCCTGGCATGCTGGTCTTCATAATCTAAGCAGGCACAAGTCAACCTGCTGGTCCCACTGCTGGAGTCTAGTGTTTGTGGGCGGGGGCACACAGGGCATGGACCCCAGGCAGGCACTGCCTGCTCACATGCTCTCTGCCCCAGTAACTCGGGTCGCTTTCCTGAAAACACACTCATATTCCCAGCAAGCACTGGAGCTAACCACCTCGATGCAGTTTCACCCCCTTTTCCTGGGCACTCAACCACCCCGCTGAGAATTCTGTTATCTTTTGAGGCTTTGTTGTTTGCCCCATGAGATGGGATTCACAACTGATATGAGCTTGAGAGCTGGTGTTGCTGACAGTGTGTTGATGAGTGGGCCTTTAACAAAAAACAGGAGTACAATTAAGCCTGTGCCATTTCTGGACACCTTATTGTGTGCCTGACTGTTGCTCTGGAGTCTGGTCCAGGCACATAGCATGCCTTCTGGGAAAGGGTTTGATAAATATCCTAAAAATTAATGAAAGTGATGGGAGTATGAGCTGAAACTGCTACGGCTATAAATATAGTTACTGTGACCTTAAAGGCTAGCCTGTCTTTGTCATTTCTTTGGAACATAGGAAATGTCACTGTTTTAGCCACTTTCATAATTTTTGGCTAGAGGGATTAAATGATGCTTTTTAAAAATTATTATTATAGATATGCGTTTCATTATTTTATTGTGGGATTGTAGAGCCTGTAGCTGTAGGGGTATTTACTATTTGAAACTTTTGTCTTGATCTTTATGTTTTTCCCTTGTGACATATTTTCCCCCATTAAGTGATTGAGAAGTTGTAGAAGTAGAAATGTGGTAGGAAAGTATTGCTGACGAGTGGTAACTGCATGTCCCTCGGCCTTGGAGTCCCGGCTGTCACCCAGTGGCTACTACTGAGGAATGAATAATGGCTTGCTTTGAAGAAAATTACAGTAATTTACAGAATTATCTTTTAAGAGCATCTGGTTGACCATGAAGTAAAAAATAAAAAAATCAAACATCTGTGCATGCCCGCTTAGTCATGAAGTAAAAAATAGAACAGTCAAACGTTTGTTCAGATGCTTGTGATGAATCTGAGTAAATAAAAAAAGACAGCTTCTTGAGCCGTTACAAAAGGGCGCCAAGTGACTATCTCGTGTCTCTTTTTGCTGATGGAGTAATTTTTTTTAAGATTTATTTTATTTTTTAAATTTTTTTTAAAGATTTATTTTATTTTTATTGGAAAGGTGGATATATAGAGAAGAGGAGAGACAGAGAGGAAGATCTTCCATGTGATGTTCACTCCCCAAGTGAGTGCAACGGCCGATGCTATGCCGATCCGAATCCAGGAGCCTCTTCCAGGTCTCCCACGCGGGTGCAGGGTCCCAAGGCTTTGGGCCGTCCTCGACTGCTTTCCCAGGCCACAGGCAGGGAGCTGGAAGGGAAGTGGGGCCGCCGGGATTAGAACCGGCGCCCATATGGGATCCCGGGCTGCAAGGCAAGGACCTTAACCACTGCGCCACCGCGCCGGGCCCGATTTATTTTATTTTTATTGGAAAGTCAGATATACAGAGGAAGATCTTCTGTCTGCTGATTCATTCCCCAAGTGGCCTCAATGGCCAGAGCTGCGCTGCACCCATCCAAAGCCAGGACCCAGGAGCTCTTCCAGGTCTCCCACGCAGGTGCAGGGTCCCAAGGCTTTGGGCCGTCCTCAGCTGCCTTCCCAGGATGCAAGCAGGAAGCTGGATGGGAAGTGGGGCTGCCGGGATTGGAACTGGTGCCCATATGGGATCCTGACACATTTAAGGTGAGGACTTTAGTTGCTAGGCTACTGCACTGGGCCTGATGGAATAATTTTTTAAAGTTTTGCTACCTTTGATCATTCTCAGGTCTTTTTTAGTTTCATTTTTTGCTGGAAAGTCAGATTTACAGAGAGAAAGATTTTCCATCCGCTAATTCACTTCCTAAGTGTATGCAAAGGCTGGATTTGAGCTGATCTGAAGCCCTGAGCCAGGATCAGGAGCTTTTTCTGGGTCTCCCATACAGGTGTAGGGTCCCAAGGCTTTGGGCCATCCTCGACTACCTTCCCAGGCCACAAGCAGAGGCTGGATTGGAAGTGAAGCAGCCAGAACAAACTAGTGTCCATATGAGATCCCAACGCATGCCAGGTAAGAACTTTAGCTACTAGGCTACCTCGCCAGACCCTCTCAAGTTTTAAAAAAAGCTTTATAGCTGCAACCACATCATTTTTTAAAAAAGACATACTTAGTTGAAAGGCAGAATTAGAGAGAAGGAGAGAGATCTTCCATCCATTGGTTCACTCCCCAAATGGCTACAACAACAAGAGCTGAGCCAGCCAGTCCAAATCCAGGAGCTTCTGGGCCTCTCACATGGTGGCAGGGCCCCCAAGGACCTGGGCCATCCTCTGCTGTTTTCCCAGGCGCATTAACAGAGGGCTGGACGGGAAGTGGTGCAGTCAGGACTCAAACCAGAATCCCTGCGAGATGCTGGAGCACAGGGGGCAGCTTTAGCTGCTGTGCCACAGTGCTGGGCCCTCACCTTCGTCTCCATGCAGTGCTTCTGTCCACTCTGAAGCTGAGCTCTGGAGAGGCAGGGAGCTTCTGACGCCTAAAGCTGCAGTTTGTCTCGCAGCACTGTGTCCTTCAAGCTGAGGGCACTGTCAAACGTGGACAGCCACAAACCAGGACCTTCCTTCCTCCAGTCTTATCTCCCTCATCGGCACCTGCAGCTTTATCGGAAGCGAGGAGGCTTTTCTCTAGGCTTTCTGGACCCTACAGGCTTTCCCAGGCCTCTTGCACTAGCCCCCCACAGCCGTGAGCTCACCACTTGGCCACCGAGAGATTGACTTGGTTTTCTTAATGATCTACAATTGCAACCCCACTTCCTTGTTTTATGTTTTCCATTTGAACTAGACAGAGAGGGACTTCCCCTGTGTGGACTGCACGGACCAAAGCTGAGGACGCAATCCAGCTCGCCAAAGCGGGCGGAGGGACGAAGCAAGTCTTTGAGCCATCCCTGCTGCCCCGCGGGGTCTGCCTCAGCAGCTAGAGCCGGTAGCAAAGCCAGGCCGGCTTACGTGAGACACTGGTTTCCTAACTGGCATTTCAACCACTAAGCATCTGCCCCAACACTGCCCTCTCACCTCACAAATCCTGAGGGCAACACCAGGAGACCATCCTCCCGGGCTGCTGCCCCTTGGAGGCCTCGTGAAGGCACACTCACAATTACTGGCCACAGCGGCAGCCCCTGAGTTAGTCATGTTCATTTCTGAGTGCTGATATTATTATTTATTTACTTATTTCATTGGATGACACAGTTTCACAGGCTCCCCAACCCTCCCCCAAGCCCTCCCGCCATACTGAATTCCCCCATATTATTACAGTAGAGTATTGACGTTATTAAATATCAAAATATCCTTGGACCACAGTTTTGGCCTTAAGGAATTATGTATCTCCAAACACAAATAAATAGCTAAGAGCCCAGCACAGTGGTCTAGTGGCTAAATTCTTGCCTTGCGTATTGGGATTCCACAAGGGCACCAGTTCATGTCCCCATTGCTCCCCTTCCATCTAGTTCTCTGCCTGGGAAAGCAATGGAGGACGGCCCAAGCTTGGGTCCCTGCACCCACCGGCTGCAGCCTGCCCAGCACTGCCCACCCCAACCACCTGGGAGTGGAAGCGCTCTGTGCGTCTCTCCTCTGTATGTAACTCTTTTCCAAATAAATTCTAAAGTCTTTTTTAAAATGACAAGATGTTACTCAAGAAGTATATATAAGAGCAGTAACACTGGGCAGGTCACAGACGAATCAGGTGAGCAGAATTCAGACAGACCATGAAAAAAAGAAAAAGCAGAGTTAACAGCTGTTCCTACCACACTTGGATTTTGAACTTGGTGTTACAGGGCTTGAATACATTACCCATTTATAAGCAGGAAGAGGAAATGTGTGTGTTTTAATGCTTTTTATTTAAAAAAATACTGATTCACGTAGGCCTTTTCAGTGCCACAGCTTTATACGGGCAAAAATCAAGTCAACTGCAGTCATGAGTGTAGAAAACCGCCCCGCATACCTACCAAGGCTCACGGCTACAGAGATCGTGGAACCTTCCCCAAGACGGACAGCTCCCCCAAAGAGGCTGAGGGGTTCTGAGGGGTTTGCCGCCTGGCCACAGCGGCTGGGGACAGCCCAGGACCCTGTGCTTCAACACTGAGAAGTGTCAGCTGGGCCACCTCCCTGAGTAGGGGCCCAGGGTACAGACGCAGCCCGGGAAAGATGGAGGACACACAGTGACCCTTTTCTAATCCTTTATGTTGATGGATCCCCACGGGCCGCGGCCACCTGGGGCTCGGGTCAATTGGAAGTCTGATGTCTGCGGGGTTCCTTTCTTTTTGGGGAGGCGCAGTGTCTGCTGTTTCACAGAGAGCAGGGGCGGCTCGGTTTCCCCCTAGTTGCTCTGTTCCTTCTCTTCCACGTTGAGCACGGTGTCCGTAGTTATCCCCGCGTCCTCCAGGGACCAGCCTCCTACCACTTCCAGGGGCTTCCTGGGAAAGGAAGTGGACAGGCCGTACAGGGATGTGTGGTAGCCGACTCTCACCATCCAGTTCAGCAAGACCTAGAAGACACAGGCTGGGTCAGCAGCGAACGCAGTGTGCGTGGGGCGCCTCTGCGCCCGCACCCTCCCCAGCTCTCAGGCAGCGCACAGGGAAGGCGCGTGCCAGCACACGCAGCACAGGGCCAGGCAGCAGGAGGCGCCTCAGCTCCTGCAGTGAGTTGAGAACCACAGGTTGGCACTTAGGAAAGTATTCAGGGCGAAGTCCCTCAGGGACTTTGTCAGCACACAGCCTGCCTTAGCATGGCCCCGTGGCCGCCATCCTGTTCTTTCTCTTTCTTTTCTCACTTATTTGTGAAGCAGGGGGAGGAACAGAGGCGGCAATGCCCCCACCTGTGGGTTAGCGCCACATGCCTGAGAGAGCTGGGATGGGGCTGAGGTCACAGCCAAAAGCCAGGAACCCAATGCGGGTCTCCCAGGTGGGGACAAGGCCACTAACCCTCGCTGTCTCTAGAGGCTGCAGAGAGCAGCAGGCCGGGGGAGGAGCTGGAGGCAGGCAGCAAGTCCATGCAAGACAGGAGCAGCAGAGCTGCCAGGATTATAACTAGTGTCCATATGGGATTCTAGTGTGTGCAAGCTAAGGACTTTAGCCGCTAGGCTACTCTGCACCAGGCCCTAACCAACTTTATTAACGAGTTGTAAGAATCCATTTTAGGGGCCCGGCACGGTGGCTTAGTGGTTAAAGTCTTTGCCTTGAATGCGCCAGGATCCCGTATGGGTGCCATTTCTAATCCTGGCAGCCCTGCTTCCCATTCAGCTCCCTGCTTGTGGCCTGGGAAAGCAGTCAGGGATGTCCCAAAGCCTTGGGACCCTGCACCCGTGTGGGAGACCTGGAGGAAGTTCCTGGCTCCTGGCTTCGGATTGGTAGAGCACCACTTGGGGAGTGAATCATTGGACGGAAGATCTTCCTCTCTGTCTCTCCTCCTCTCTGTATATCTGACTTTGTGATAAAAATAAATCTTTTTAAAAATATTTTTATTTTGAATTTTGAATTATGTGGTACGTTTTTATATAGGCTGGGATTCCCCCCAAACTCCCACTGCAGCACTATGGTGTTGTGGGTAAAGCTGCTGCGTGAGACGCCAGCATCTCCTAAAGACTCGGGTTTGAGTCTTTACTGCTCACTTCCAATCCAGCATGCCCACTAACAGGAAGACCGCAGAGGATGGCCCGAGGCACTGCGTCCCTGTACCCATGTGGGAGGCGTGCAGGAGACTCTCGGCTCCCAGCTTCAGCCTGGCCTACCCCTGGCCATGGCAACCATTTGGGAGTGAATCAGAGGATGTAAGACTCTGTCTCTCCGGCTTTCAAATTAATTGATTTATTAAAATCATGACAACAACCGCCAGGATAACAGGAACAGAGCTGACACTGGTTGCTTCCTGTGGGTTTAACAGCACAGTGCTACCAAACTGTGAACATGTAATCAAGGACAACAAGCAGGACACATGACGAGAGCAACTGAACGATGCTGGAGTGCAGAGGTCCCCGATCCAGAGAGCCCAGGCAGCCTGTGATCCAGGCACGTGGCATGCAGAGCACACGCCTACATCCTGCGTCCTCCTCGGATGTGCGTGTCAGGGACACGCTGCAGTGTACGAACCACTGCCACGCTCCGCAAACGCCTTCCTCCTGGCAGGAGCAGCCTCACCTACCTGCGCACTGCAGGACTTCAGGAACCTCCTCCGCAGGACACTCCCACTCGGACACCGCAGCGCCACAGTTACCACCTGCCGGATAAAAAAACTCCACTTAGAATCCAAATCAGCTGATCTCTGCAATTCTACCATTATTCGTTGCCGAACTGTCTGTAATCACACATGCAGGAGGTCCCGTTGAAAACTCATCCTGAACACTGAAGTAAGAAGCAGAAAAATGGGGCCCAGCCTGGTAGCCTCGTGGCCAAAGTCCTCGCCTTGCAAGTGCCAGGATCCCACATGGGCACTAGTTCTAATCCCGGCAGCCCGCTTCCCATCCAGCTCCCTGCTTGTGGCCTGGGAAAGCAGTGGAGGACGACCCCTTGAACCCCTGCACCCACATGGGAGACCAAGAAAAAAGCTCCTGGCTCCTGGCTTCGGATCAGCTTAGCTCGGGCCGTGTGACCACCTGGGAAGAGAACCAGTGGAAAGAAGATTTCTCTGTTTTGTATCTTCTTCTCTCTGTATATCTGCCTTTCCAATAAAATAAACAAATCTTTAAAAAAAAAAAATTACATTACCGTACTGAGTATAACAGTACAGTACATTGTGGCTAACTATAGCCTATCACACTACCTTATCTATGTATATCTTCTTGTCATTTTGAAAGTGCCTTTCTTAGTAAAGACTTATTTTATTTACTTGAAAGAGTTGTAGAGACAGAGAAGGGGAGAGAGAGAGAATCTTCTATCGGCTGGTTTGCTTCCCAAATGGCCACAATGGTCAGGGCCAACCTGGGCTGCAGCCAGGAGCCCAGAACTGAGCCGCATGTACAGGAGACACAGCACTTGGCGTGCCCTCCACTGCTCTTCCCACACATCAGCAGGTAGCTGGATTGGCTTCACGGACAGCAGCTTAACCCATGGTGCCACCATGAAGTACTTCCGTTAGGGCGATAGGCTGGACGCTGGCTGCAAAGCTTACCTTTCCCAAACAGAATGCTACTCCTGCTTTGTTATTGTTGTTTCTTTGCTTTTCTTTTTTAAAGATTTATTTATTTTGATTGGAGAGTCAGATTTACAGAGAAAAGGAGAAACAGAAAAATCCTCCACTTGCTGGTTCACTCCCTAAGTGGCTGCAACAACAGTCAGAGCTGGGCGAACCCAAAGCCAGGAGCTTGGAGCTTCTTCCTAGGTGTTCCCCGCAGATGCAGGGCCCAGGCGTCAGGCTGTTGCCTACTGCTTTCCCAGGCCACAGACATGGAGTTTGGAAGAGAAGTGAAGCACCCGGGATATGAACCAGCGCCTGGATGGGATCCCAGCACACACAGGGCAAGGAGTTAGCCACTAGGCTATTGCACCGGGCCCTCTATGTTTTTTAATCTTCACGATATTGACCCATCAAGCTTAAGGACTACTGACATTATTGTGAAAAAATTGCTACAACGAGGCAGAGATAGATGTCCTGGCCTGGGAGATCAGTACATCAAAAGTAAGGTAACAAGGCTGAGAGCAAGAAAATTATGGAAAAGATACAATGGGGCATGTGAAGCCTTCCAAGTCTGTGAATGGTTAGTAGGCAACCTATGCACAGAAGCCTACGAGCATGGCAACTGTACAGACGGTTCTGGTCGTTTCTAAACATTCCATTCTTAGTTTCTCTCAATTAGCACAGAATGAGCTGTGAATGTACCAAGAAGCACCACTTACATGTTAATGATGTTCATTACAAGACTTCATTATGTGATACATTGTTTGTACCAACTAATTCAGTATCTAGAACTCATAGAGGGCAAATATTTGAGGTGTATCATCTTTAAGGTGGTAATTATTTACTGTAGATCTACTGGCATTACTTAACAGTAACAAAGCAGACAGAATCAGGCAGAGAAGGGAAAAGGCGGCGGGCTGAGCACTGCTTCCGCAGGGACTAAGGGCAGAAGAGCAGTGAGAGCCCAGGGCCTGGGGTTCAGTGCTGGTCCTGCCAGCGGGGCCTGGAGCCCTCTTCCTTCCAGGGCATTGGCCTCAAGAGAGCAGATGGAAGGAGACTGCTCCGAGGCTGGCTCCAGCTGCACAATGCCATTCCTCTCACACACACTGAGAAGAGCGTTAACACAGTATGCCAGCTACCAAGCCTGGGGAAGGTGGCAAGGCAGCATCGTTACTAATAAGCTCACAAATACCACCAGGAGGACAGCAGTGCCAGCCAGCGACGTCACCAGCCTTGGCTGCAGTTGCTTCTTCACCATTCAGGGCCACACACCCAGGAACGGTGCTTTCCCATTACTGCTATGATTCCAAAGGATTTGCTGACACTCGTATCTGTACTCCACAGACCTTAGGTAACAAACTATGGTTTTAAAGAAGTCACATTGTGTATTGCAAAGCCAGGGCAAATCCATAAAAGGCATTTCCTGTCAAGCCTATGCCATATGTAATGAATTCCTGTATTACACAATGGTTGTCATGGATACCAACCCAGCGCCCAATGAGAAGTGAGCATCGCGACAGGACACAAAGAGGGGGTCAAAAGTCTTATCTACTTCTGCATGATTTTCAGATTTTCCTCAGAGAGTCCAAGCCCTGGTCGTAAATTTTACAAATGAATTATATTTTTTTAAAAAAATGAGTTAACAAAAATGAGACCTTCCTTCTGGTGGTAGTATTTGATGGGGTAGTTAAGCTACTGGGATCCCTGAACCCCACATTAGAGCTTCTGGGTTCAAGTCCCATCTCCTCTTTTGATTCCAGCTCCCTGCCAATGTGCATCCTGGGAGACAGCAGTCACAGGCCCAAGGGCTTGGCCCCCGGGCACCGGTGAAGGGGCCACGTATTGAGTTCCAGGCTCCTGGCTTTGACCTGGCCAGTCCCAGCTATTGTAGGCATGTGGCTAGTGAACCAGCACTTGCAAGATGTGTGTCTCCATCTTTCAAATAAGTAAAGAGAAATAAGTGTTTTTAAAAACTAAAGAAAAAGGAAACCCTCCCAGCTGTTTGCATGGCTGCCACAACAACAAATCTGAGTATAACAGTACAGTAGCTACAGAGCCCAAGAACCTGAAGGCCACGTGGTCTCTCCTGGGTCACTGTCTGGATGACTTCCTGGCCCTGCAGACAGGTGTTCTCCGCCCAGCACTTGTCTGGGAACAGACTGACAAAGCAGCTGGGAGGAAGGCAGCCAGGGCAGAGCGGAGATCAACCCAACCCCAGGCCCCAAGGTAGACCATTTACGAGACAGCTCACAGCCTTCACATGGTGGGCAATTTGAAGCCATCGCCCTGTGTTCATGTTGTTGAGGTAAGCACCTCATCTGTTGCAATCTAATCTTGGCCTGAGTCAGTGAGCGAGGAAGCGCTCAAAGACAGCAGGTGGCAGGGATCCAAAGCGGGAGCCCGCAGAGGGATGGGGCGGGACAAACACCCAGGACAGTGCCACTTCCGGAGTGCTGATGCTCTTCCTGTCCACGTCCACGTTCAGACAGGATAGGTACACCTGATGTTAAACAAAGAAAGCACAGGATAGATGTAGATTTTCAAAGAAAAAAACAAAACAAGCTTACTTCTTCAGCTGTTGCAGAAGGCTCTTCAGGTAGATCAGGAACCTAAAGAAAAGCAAGCACTGGTGAAAGGAAGGTCAACATTTTTACAGAACAGAAGATGCTGTACGTGACGTTTAGGTACACTGAAGCTTAATGAAACCTGTTGTCTCAATGTATTTGTAGAGTTAGAGTGGGGGCTGCAGCTGTGATGCAGTTAACCACTGCCTGCAACGCCAGCATCCTGTAGGAGTGCCAGGTGCAGTCCAGCTGCCCCATTCCCAATCCTACAAGTCATAAAATGGGATTTGAGATGGCAGCTGCACAATTACATTTTTTTTAAAGATTTATTTATTTTTATTACAAAGTCAGATTTACAGAGTAGAAGCTCAGAGACAGAGAGGAAGATCTTTCGTCCGATGATTCACTCCCCAAGTGAGCGCAATAGCTGGTACTGCGCCAATCCAAAGCCGGGAACCAGGAACCTCTTCTGGGTCTCCCACGCAGGTGCAGGATCCCAAAGCCTTGGGCCGTCCTTGACTGTTTTCCCGGGCCACAAGCAGGGAGCTGGATGGGAAGTGGAGCTGCTGGGATTAGAACCGGCGCCCATATGGGATCTTGGCACATTCCAGGTGAGGACTTTAGCCACTAGGCCACGCCGCCGGGCCCACAATTAAATTTTTTTGATTTTATGATATTTAAACCTAGTTTATGAGAGTGCTTCAGATCCACGAAAAATGAAACAAAAAGATAAAGTTAGGCCTGGGGAGTTAACCTCGTAATTAAGATACCAGTTAGAATGCCCAAGTCAGCACCCAGCGTGGTAGCCTCGTGGCTAAATCCTTGCTTTGCATGCACCAGAATCCCATTTGGACACTGGTTTGTGTCCTGGCTGCTCCACTTCCCATCCAGCTCCCTGCCTGAGGCCTAGGAAAGCAGTCAAGGACACCCCAAGCCTTGGGACCCTGCACCCGCATGGGAGACCAGGAAGAGGCTCCTGGCTTTTGATCAGCTCAGCTCTGGCCATTGCCCCCACTTGGGGAGTGAATCAATGGATGGAAGCTCTTCTTCTCTGTTTCTCCTCTTCTCTGTATATCTGACTTTCCATTAAAAATAAATAAATCCTAAAAAAAAATCTTAAAAGGAAAAAAGACCTTCAAGGTATCTAAGTTCATACACTCTATCTCTTTAATATGAATACAGTATTTTTCTTCATTGGCACTCTTAGGAGACTGGGAAGCAGCTAATCACTTTGATTACTGTTGTCACTTATTTGCATTTCCCTATTTCTGTTAATTTATTAGCAACCAGATGTTTAGCTCATTTTCTCTTATTAAAACCACTGTAGGATTCAGGAGCTGTGGCACGGTAGCTTAAGTCACCACTTGCAATGCCAGTGTAACATCACAATGTCAGTTCAAGTTCTAGTCAGTCTGCTTCTGATCTTGCTCCCTGCTGATGCTCCTGGGAAGGCAGCAGAAGACAGCCCAAATGCTTGGGCTCCCGCGCCTGTGTCTACATGGGAGATCTGGAAGAAGCTCTTGGCTTCTGGCTTGGACTTGGCTGAGATCTGGCTGCAGCAGATTCGTTTGGGGAGAGAATCAGCATTTGGAAAATCTCTCCATCTCTGTCTCTCCCTTCCAAATAAATAAACCCTTGAAACAAAATGAAACAGAACAAAAACATAAAACCCCTTATTATGAACATCATCATCTCTAGGGGTCCTTTTGCATTTAGATACCTCAGACTATTTATTCTAGAACCCTTAAACAAAAGCTACTTGTATTTATTAAATAATGTTTTCCTGCTTGTGGGAGGCAGCAATGATGGGGGAGACTAGGAGTGAGCGCTCCTGGCTCCAGTCTCAGCCGGGGCCTGTTCCAGGAACTCAGTCTCTCTGTCCATCTGCCTGTGTCTGCCTGTCAGAGAGACCAGAAAAAGCACAGTACGTCAAAACTATATGTGTCAACCAACATTTTTCAGCAGGAGCTAGTGCTACCAGCAAAATACTAAGGAACTTTGATTGAGTCTACGTAGTGTGCTACTGGTTTGTGAAATGTGAATGGTTCAGGAACCTGCCTAGCCCTTTCAGGCTCTGCTCTGGGACCAGGGCATCTCCACTGCAAGAGTCCACACGCAGGGATGGGACAGCCTCCCTGCCTCGCTGGACCGTCAGAACAGAGGTCTCTGTTCCAACCTTTGTCAGCCCCACATTAATGCCCACACAGGGATTAAAGAGTGGAAAGAGACGCTGGGCTAATAAGCCTGGGCACTATTCCAAAGTGACTGATGGCTACTCTCCAAGGGCTAGTGAGGAAAATTACACCCTCAAGTTAATTACAGGAAGCAGCCTCTTGCAAAACAGAGCTTAATAACATCTTAAACCCCCTAACAGGCACACTGCCCTGAGCACACATTACATTTTCCCTTTCTACATAATAGCACATCCTCAAAAAAGCATTCTTCTCTAACCATGCTATTATTTATCTTCACAGCTCCCCTTTAAGATTGGTTTCCAACGTTAATATGAAGCATTTTATTTACTACTAAGCATTACCATGAAAACTAAAACACTAAGCCTCATTCCTAGTGAAGTGGATCACTCTGGAAGGCGGTGGGGCTTAAGCCCCTGGGTTAAAAGGCAGCCCCCCCTCCTCACCAAGCTGCTTGCCACCTGACTCTATTCTGACTGAGCCACGGACCTCCTCCTGTGGCTGCGCAGCAGCAGGTGGTGGAACTGCCTTCAGAGGCTCGCGCAGGTTGCGTCTCCTCGCTGCTTCTCTGCCTGGCGTTTCAGAAGACGTGTGACTTGCGTTGTCGAGCACCAAGTCTTCCTCACCCTGTTCAGAAACAGACAACCTCTGAGACAGATGCTCTCTGCCAACCTCATTCTACTCATGACGGCCATTTCTTTTGCCCTGATGGTATTTCAGTAGAAAACAGGAAGTTAAAGCATTGTCTCTTTGGACAAGAAAACGGAGGTTCTTGTGTTGCCCAGAAACTCCCCTCGCTCTGCTCTGGGAATCCTTGCCTGATAGGAAAAAGGTTGCTCAGGGCCCTGCCCCTGGCACTGACCCCCCAGTCTCTCAGTAGAGGGAGAAAGGCAGGGGGGAGTATGAAGGACAGCCCTTCCAGCTTGCAGCAAATGAAGCAAGAGAGCACGGGCTTGGTGTCAACATTTTCAAGGTTCCAAATTCAAACTCTCATCTTCCATTCTGATGAATTGCTCCAGGAGGAAAAGGCTTTGATTCCAGGGTATCATAAACAGTACTGCAATAATCACATTAGTACTAGCTACTACCACTTTCTTGTTAACAAAATAATTTACCAAATGTCAGTTCTCAGACACACAGACCCCTGTACTCACAGAGTTAACCAACTGCCTGCTGAAAATACATTTTAAAACAAGAATGTGTTCACTTTATTCTTGGCCATCATTCCTCATATGCTGTAGTACAACAATTATTTACATAGCATTTACATTGTATTAGGTCTTACAGATAATGTAGGGATGATTTAAATCCTATGGGGGAGGTCAGCATGATGGCATAGCGGGTAGAGCAGCTGCCTACAATCCTAGAATCCTGTGTGGGCACTGGCTGCTCCGATCATGATCCAGCTCCCTGTTCATGGCAGTGGAAGATGGCCTGAGTGCTTACGAGACCCAGGCTAAGCTCCTGGCTCGTCTGCTTCCACTATGGCTTACTTCTCAGGAGTATGCAAAGGCACGAGGTGATGGCTCAGGCAGTGAGGACCCCGCAACCCATGGGAGAGTGGCAAATGTGGATCCGGGGTCCTGGCATCGGCCTCGCCCAGCCCTCGCTGTTGTGGGTATTTCAGCAATGAACCAGCAGGTGGAAGGCCTCGCTCTGTTTCTCATTCTCTGTCACTCTGCCTTTCGAATAAATAGATAAATCCTAAAAGCAAAATAAGCCAAAGATGTGAGCTTAAAGTCTGCAGGCCTTCAGAAATATCAGCCTTTCCTCACAGAGGAACACGGGGATTTCACACACACAGCCGGCATGCTTTCTAACCCCAAGTTTGTGTCCACTGCTCAACTTCCAGGTTTCCCCCGTCATTTGATAAAAACGCTCTTGTAGTTTTTTCAGTTTCATTTCTTGTCGAGGTTTTAAAACATTCTCCACATATCTGCTAGCCTGTTAAAATGAAAAAAAATAAATTAGGTGTTGTTATAATACGTTAATGTTTGTACAAATTTGCACTCCCTATAAAGCTGTAAATTTCAGATAAGAAGTTTTCACACTAATTCAGCTTTGCCAGAAGTGTGGCTTCCTCCATTTCTGCCTCACTTTCTAAAGTCTTAACTGTGTTTAATGCAAACATGTTTGTGACACAAACAAAAGCAACAGTTCTTTACCCAATGATTATATAGTAGTGTGCTGTGTATCCTTTATGTGTATTTTATATCTTATTATCAGTTTAATTATCTCTCTAAAAAAAGAATTTACTTATTTTTACTGGAAAGACAGATTGTATTTATAGAGAAGGAGAAGAGACAGAGAGGAAGATCTTCCATCCACTGATTCAGTCCCCAAGTGGCCGGATTGGCTGGAGCTGAGCCGATCTGAAGCCAGGAGCTTCTGCCGGGTCTCCCACGTGGGTGCAGGGTCCCAAGGCTTTGGGAGATTCTCTACTGCTTTCCCAGACCACGGCAGGGAGCTGGATGGGAAGTGGAACAGCAGGGACAGGAACTGACACCCATAAGGGATTCCGGAGAATTCAAAGTGAGGATTTAGCCACTGAGCCATGTGTCAGAGCCAGTTTAATGATCTCAATGTGATACAGCATGATAACTCAAGGTAGACCGTGAAGAATGGTCAAATTAAATCAAGCTAGTCAGCATTTAGCTCCTTGACCATTTGATTAGCACTTAATATTTGTGCATGTTTATGAAGCACACTCTGCTTAATTCAATAGGCACATACAAGAGCTGACCAAATCAGAGTAAATGATGGTTTCATCTCCTCTTGATTACTTTGTGTCGGCTTAGAGCCTTCCTGCTCCAGTTCTCCTAGACTATGCAGTGGTTAGTTGGGTTACAGCGCCCCTGCCCACCATGCTGTGGAACAGGAGAACTTACTCCTCTCATCTGACAATGCCAACACCCACCCTTTCAGCCTCTGGTCACCACTAGTCTAGTCTGCATTGCCATCAAGTTATTTTGCAGCTGGCAGCCTTCATCTTTCCATGTCTGACTTGGTTTGTTTATGGACATGATGCCCTTCAGGATCATCCATTTTGCTACACGTACTGAAAAACCTTGGGCCTGACGCAGTAGCCTAGCAATTAAAGTCCTCGCCTTGCACGTGCCAAGATCCCATATGGGCACCAGTTCTAATCTTGGCAGCCCTGTTTCCCATCCAGCTCCCTGCCTGTAGCCTGGGAAAGCTGTCGAGGATGGCCCAAAGCCTTGGGACCCTGCCCGTGTAGGAGACCTGGAGGAAGTTCCTGGATCCTGACTTTGGATCAGCACAGCACCAGCCGTTGCAATCACCTGGGGAGTAAATCATTGAATAGAAGATCTTCTGCTCTGTCTCTCCTTCTCTCTGTATATTTGACTTTGTAATGAAAATAAATCTTAGGGGGAAAAAAGTGAGAATAGACATTTTACCAAAGATACATAAATGGCAAATAAGCACACAAAAAGATGCTTAAAATATTAGTCATTAGAGAATTGCAAGTCCAACCCTGAGAAACTGCTTAGCAATGATGGGTATCATAAAAGGAGGGAGGGGCCAGCTCAATGGGCTAATCTGGCTAATCCTCAGTGTGTTAGCATCAGCATCCCACAGGGGTAAGGGGCACAGGTGCGTGTCTGGCTGCTCCCTTCCTATCCAGCTAGCTACCTGATTACGGCCCGAGAAAGCTGTGGAGGATGGCCCAAGTCCTCAGGCCCCTGAGCCCAAGTGGGAAACCAGAGGAAGCTCCTTGCTTCTGACTTTGGATCAGCTCAGCTCCAGCCACTGTAGCCAGTTGGGCAGTGAGCCAGCGGGTAGAGGATGTTTATCTATCTCTCCTCTTTTGGCCTTCTTAATAAAAATAAATCAATCTTGGGGGTACTGCCTACAATGCTAGCATCTCACATAAGCCCTGGTTTGAGCTCCTCCACTTCTGACCCAGATCCTTGCCAATGCACCTGGGAAAGCAGTGGAAGAAGGCCCAAGTACCTGGGCCTCCGCACTCGGGCAGGAGACCTGCATGGAGTCTGAGGCTCCTGATCCAGCCTGGCCCTGGCCCAGCCCGAGACGCCATTTGGAAAGTGAAGCGGCAGATGAAAGAATTTTCTGTCTGTCTGTGTCTTCTTCCTCGTAATTCTGATTTCCAAATGAATGAGTGAATGAAGAAATATAAAGGAACCACGAATAAAAGAGTGGGAAGGAACTGGGACCCTTGAAGAGTGCTCGTGGGAATGTAAATTGGAAGGACAGGCAGGCAGGTACTGCTGGGCAGCAGGTTAAGCAAACACTTGTGATGCTGGCACCCTACATCAGACAGCGCACTGGTTCAAGTCCCGGCTGCTCTAATACCAGTCTACTTCTTTGCGAGTACTCTTGGCAAGATAGTCTAAGCACTTGGGCCCCTGCCACAGCCACAGGAGACCCAGAGCTCCTGTCTGCTGTCCTCAGCCTGGCCCTGCACCAGAGGTTGCAACCATTTGGAGTGTAAAGCAGATGAAGGCTCTCTCTGTTTCACTCTGGCTTGTACCCTCCACCATCACCACACCTTTCAAATAAGTAAGTAATAATAATGCCTTTTAAAATAATTAAGGCATATAAAATGATATAAAACTATGGGAATCATTTTGGCAGCTCCTCAAAAATAAGTTAACCGCAGAATTATCATGACTCATCAGTTTCACTGATACCAAAAGATTAGGAACAGGCACTCAGGGCGAGCACTTGGCCTGCAGGTTCAGGCGTGGGTGGGACGGCTGGCATCCCATTAGGAGCTACTAAGTTCAAGACCTAACTCTGCTTCCCAATTCCAGAGGCAGCAGGGAACAGCTCCAGGACTCGTCACCCATGTAAGAGATGTGGCTTGAGTTTGCGGCTTCTGGTCTCAGTCCTGCCCACCCCAACCATTGTGGGCACGTGGGGAGTGAACAGAGTATGGGAGCTCCCTTCTTGGACTCTCAAAAACGAAATAATTTAAACGAACGGGTATTCAGTACTCACATGCAAACATTCACAGCTATTCAGGGATATTCACAATGGCCCTTAACTAAAGGGTAGATACAACTGATTTATCTGTCAACAAATGAACAGATCCAACTTTGGTATATTCACGCAACAGTCATTTATTCAAAGGAGGGAAGCCCAGGTACAAGCGAGGAGAACCTGGTAAACGTGACGCCAAACGAGAGGAGCTGGACTTGGACAGGTCATGTCCACACTAACCCATTTACAGGATATCCAGAATGGGTAAATCCACAAGCAGAAAGCAGACTGGTGTCTGCCAGGGGCTGGGAGGATGGGCAAGAGGGAGTGACTACCTAAGGGATATGGGGTGTTTTCTAGGGGGTGATGAACAACATTGTGGAACTAGATAGTGGTGATAAACGCACAACACCATGTAGTACATATGCCACTGAACTATCGATTCTAACACGACTGATTTTACGCTGTGTGGATTTCACTGCTATCATGATTATAAGCAACCCTAGAACAGGCACAGAAGCCTCAGACCTTAATTTTAAATGTCCCAGGTGTCTCCATATTTTTTCCCTAAAAACACCCTCTAAAAAAGTCACACTGTACCTTTTCTCCCTGTGCCTCTTGTTGTTGTTTTCGAACAAGTTTTTGCCTCTTCTCATTCTCGTCCTCTTCTATAGGATGAAAAAAACATAAAAGTGTGTTTTAATCACCAAGTACCAATGAGTCAAAGGCTCGTCATTCTTAGAAAAAGTGTACATTTTAACATTGTGGGAAAGACAAGACAAACAAAAAAAGAGGATTCTTTTTTTCAAATAATGCAAATGACATACAGGCAGAAGCAAAGAAATACACAAGAAAAATCTACTACAGGGCCCTACATGGTAGCCTGAGGCTAAAGTCCTGGCGTGCATGCACCAAGATCCCATATGGGCATCAGTTCTAATTCTGGCAGCTCCACTTCCCATCCAGCTCCCTGCCTGTGGCCTGGGAAAGCAATCAAGGATGGTCCCAAAGCCTTGAGACCCTGCACCTGCGTGGGAGACCTAGAAAAAGCTCCTGGCTCCTGGCTTTGGATTGGCGGGGCTCCAACCATTGCGGCTACACTGGATAGAATATCTTCCTCTCTGTCTCTCCTCCTCTCTATATATCTGACTTTCCAATAAAAATAAATAAATCTTGCAAAAAAATCTACTACAAAATGTCTGTTTTGGGCCCGGCATGATGGCACAGTGGTTAAGGTCCTCGCCTTGCACGCCCAGGATCCCATATGGGCGCTGGTTCTAATCCCAGCAGCCCCACTTCCCATCCTGCTCCCTGCCTGTGGCCCAGGAAAGCAGTCGAGGACGGCCCAAAGCTTTGGGACCCTGAACCCGCGTGGGAGACCCGGAAGAGGCTCCTGGCTTCGGATCGGATTGGTATAGCATCGGCCATTGCGCTCACTTGGGGAGTGAATCATCGGACGGAAGATCTTCCTCTCTGCCTCTCCTCTCTGTATATCCGCCTTTCTAATAAAAATGAAATAAATCTTTAAAAAAAAAGTCTGTTTTTTCTTTTAGTTGAAGTTCAAAGACTTTATTGAGGAGTCTGAAGGGGTGGAAAAACCTGAAGGAAATCCGAAGTCTGAGCCCAGGACCTTCTTTCTGCCGCATCCCCGAAAGGAAAATGTCTGTTCTGAAACAAGCATTCTCTGATGTGCACCAATGTTCTAAGTAATGGTTTTAATAAGGAGGCTTCAGAAAGTTCTGGGTGAGTAGAGAGGGACTGCACTTCTGGGCCTGTCAGGGCTGAGGCAGCTCCAAGGCACACCATGGAAGCCAACTGCTGTGTGTGGAGCAGGGAACGCCACACACTACACAGGACACAGCTGCCCCATGACTCCAATAGGACAACAAAAGCAGTATGCCCACTTCCCAAAGGGGGGATGTGCTTAGCAGCTTCTAGGCCGCTACCTAGTGCCTTGCTGTAATACAGAGCTGGTTTTACACTGGGTACAATAAACATTGCTTTGGTATCTGGCTTGATCCCTCAAACAGCATTTGAAGCACGACTTTTGTAGTCCTGCAATACACACAAAATGGCTCATACATATTAACAAACAAGTCAGAAACTAATTATTCCTTCTGGAATAATCCACCCTTTAGAAAACACACATACACACACACTGTTTTAACAGGAATAGGAATATTGACTCATGCCCATAACTTTAGCTCTATGGCAGTAAATACTCCTATTCAGTTTGTTATCGCAGTAAATATTTATATTCCCTCAAGTTTATAAAACAAAGATTAAGGCAATAGAGCACAGTGAAAAATGGGAAGGACCAGTTGGCCAATAACTTGCTTCTGGCTGGGTCAGATTCAGTGATATTAAAATGCTTTCCAAACTCTGAACCAAAGAATATACTTTTTTTTCTAGACATGGGAAATTTGGATTGAGTTCCTGGCTCCTGGCTCCAGTGGCACAGCCCCAGCCACTGTAGACATTTAGACAGGGAACCAGTGGATGGGAGCCACTATTTCTCTCAATCTGCTTTTCAAATAAAAATAAGCAACCAGGACAACAGTTGCAATAATTATTCCTCCTTGAAATTAAACATCACAAATCAGTGGTGAGATAATTCTTAAGGGGAAAAGTTCTGGAATACAAGAAAGAAAGTTGAGTATAAAAATATGAGGGTAGTATAAATATTCAGCTTACCTTTCAAACAAACTTGGGAAGATTTAAGTGAGTTAAACCATGAGGTAGTCACAGAAATAACTAAAGTAAGAAGAGCAAGCAGAAAGAAAATCCGGCCACATAGCAAAAAGAAATCTTTAATTCCTTAAATAAAAAAGAAAAAAATTAAAATTAAATACATTTTTGTTTATGAAAAACACATCAAGTAATAAATGCTAATAATAAATAGAAACACATCAAAAGGTTATTTTTACTAATAAAGTAATAGAAGTTATGAAACTAGGTCAGTATTGTGGATAAAGCTGACACCTGTAATGCCAGGGATGTCACATGGGCACCAGACCAAGTCCTGGTTTCTCCACTTCTGACCCAGTTTCCTGCTAATATACCTGGGAAGGCAGCAGAAGATTGCCCAAGCATTCGGGTCCCAGCACCCAAGTGGGACACCCTGAATAAGCTCCTGGCTTTGGACCAGCCCAGCTCTGCCCATTATATCACGTAGGAAGTGAGGTACCAGGAAGATATATGTCTCTCCCTTTCTGTTAGTATACCTTTCAAATAAACAAATCTGTCAAAACTAAAAGATACAGTACAGGTGAAAGAAGAGGTCTGGGAGTCCCATTTTATTCCAGGGAAACCAATTAGGATTTCCCCTGAGAATATTCCAATCTATAAGCATTATTGCAGACATAACCCAGTAGCTGTCACACTGTGAGGCATGGTTTGCAAACCAGACTTAAAATACTGGTTGAAAGCCCACCATCAAGAGATCCAAGAAACCATGACCAGCTCATGACAGTAGGTTCCAGCAGAAGGACAAGGAAAAATTTCACTAACTACACGGAGATGCTGCTAAAGGCTAAGTGGCATTTTCTAGAATCCTTGGCCTGGTTGGCACATTAAAACAAATTACATGTGTACCCTGCCCTGTAGAAGTGTGTTTTCCTGCGATCAGAGCTGACTGGGACAGAGTAGGTCTGCAACTCTCAGACAGAAGCTTCTCACGGAGCAGTAACTCAAATGCCAGCGCAAAGCAGATTCTAACCAAGCTGCAGAGCTGCCCCAAAAGGAAGGGAACAAGTGGATCTTAGAACATGTGAGCCGTGAGCTTGAATTTAACATTTCAGTGTAACACTTAGACCCAGATCTTATTGCATTTCAACAGTGAGGGTAGTAGGTTTCTGCAGGGTCTTAATAAATTTTCTAAAAACATTCTACCAGGCCCGGCACAATGGCTCAGTGGCTAAATCCTCGCCTTGCACATGCCAGGATCCCATATGGGCACTGGTTTGCATCCCGGCTGCTCCACTTCCCATCCAGCTCCCTGCTTGTGGCCTGGGAAAGCAGTACGAGGACAGCCCAAAGCCTTGGGACCCTGCACCTATGTGGGAGACCCAAAGAAGCTTCTGGCTCTTGGCTTCAGATCGGCTCAGTTCTGGCTGTTGCAGCTATCTGGGGAGTAAATCAGTAGTTGGAAGATCTTCCTCTCTGCATCTCCTTCTTTGTGGGTAAATCTGCCTTTCCAGTAAAAATAAATAAACCTTTAAACGGGCGGGGGGGGGGAAGCATTCTATCTTTTGTCATTTCAAGTAACATTTCTGGGCCCCCAACTCCTTCTCAGGCAGAGCAGAGAGCAGTTACACAACTACTTTCATCCTGGTCTCTAACTTCAAAACTGAGTTTGAGGAAGACAGACATGTAAAATGAACTCCTGAAGCTCAACCTCTCCACTATTTCCCTTTTAGTTTTCCTTTTTACCAGCAGCACAATATGTCAGGAACCACCCAGAAATCCTTCCTTTCCCCTGACTGCAAATGCAAACCTTCAACAAATTCTGCCATCAATATCCAGGATATGGCAATAGCTCAAAAAGCTAATCCTCCACCCTGTGGTGCCAGCATCCCCATATGGGTGCTGGTTCATGTCCCGGCTGCTCCACTTCCCATCCACCTCTCAGCTTATGGCCTGGGAAAGCAACAGAGAATGTCTCAAGCCCTTGGGATCCTGAAACTATGTTGGAGACCCAAAAGAAGCTCCTGGCTTTAGATCAGCTCAGCTCAGCTTTGGCTGTTGTAGCTATTTGAGGAGTGAACTGATGAATGAAAACCTTCTTTTTGTAAATCTGCCATTCAAATAAAAATAAATTTCAATAAAAATAAATCGTAGGGAAAAAAACCCTTTAATGTCATTAATATCTAAATCCGTCCACATGTCACAGGCTGTTGTCATCTGCCTGCAGGCTATTGCCACTCCTGCCTGCTCTGAAAGCCTCCCTTGCCCAGCTGCTATCATTATACATGGCTCCCTCCTCCCCAAACATTCTCCACATGGTTCCCAGAACCCTGGGGGAAGGGATGGTGCAATGGCTCAATTGGCTAAGGGCACCAGTTCATATCCTGGCTGTTTCACCTCTCATGCAGCTTCTTGCTTGTGGCCTGGGGAGGGCAGCAGAGGACGGTCCAAAGCCTTGGAACCCTACACCCACATAGGAGACTTAGAAGATGCTCTGGGATCCTGGTTTCAGATTGGCTGTCCAGCTGTTGCGGCCACTTGGGGAGTGAATAAACAGACAGATCTTCCTCTCTGTATATCTGAGTTTAAGAAAAAATGACATAAATCTTAAAAAAAAAATTCTTTTTTTTTAAGATTTATTTATTTATTGGAAGGTCAGATATACAGCGAGGAGCAGAGACAGAGAGGAAGATCTTCAGTCCGATGATTCACTCCCCAAGTGAGTGCAACGGCCAATGCTATGCCAAGCCAAAGCCAGGATCCAGGAACTTCTTCTGGGTCTCCCACACGGGTGCAGGGTCCCAAAGCACTGGGCTATCCTTGACTGCTTTCCCAGGCCACAAGCAGGGAGCTGGATGGGAAGTAGAGCTGCCAGGATTAGAACCAGCGCCCATATGGGATCCCAGGGAGTTCAAGGCGAGGACTTAAGCCACCAGGCCACGCTGCTGGGCCCCACTGTAGCCTTCTAACAGGCTTTGTCCCTACCCTCTTGGTGTTTGCCAGCCACTGTTCTGCTCAGAAGACACCACTTCTACCATCTTCTCTGATTCTTCCCTCTTGAAAATCCCCTGATGCTATCAGGGTTCCATCTTACACATCTTGCTTTGCACAGTGAAACTGTCCACATGAAAATTCTTCTTTGGTCTGGTAAGAACTAAGGTTCCTTTCATAGTTTCCCTGAAGTTCCCTGCAGCACCACTTCCTACTAAGGTGCCTCCTGAGAGGTGCCCGTGATGACTCCCGTGCTTGGATCACTGTTGCCACCTTGAGGCACCTGCATGGAGCTCCTGAGGTCTGGCTTCAGCCTAGCTGAGCCCAGGCTGTTGGGGATACTTGGGGAGTGAATCGAAGGGTTGCCAAACACCCCAAATTGGTTGGAGGCATTGTTGTGGAACGCCAAACTGAGTCTGCTGACCTAATAATGTGCAGAAAGCCAATCACTAACATCGGCATGGTGGAAAAGTAGGTCTTTTAAGATTGATCTTTTATTAGAAAGGTAGATTTATATAGAGGAAACCAAGTTTTGAGGGTTCACTCTTCAAGTGGTCCCAACAGTCAGAGCTGAGCTGATCCAAAGCCAGAAGCCAGGAGCCTCTTCTGGGTCTCCCATGCGGGTGAAGGATCTCAAGGCTCTGGGCTATCCTCTACTTCTTCCCAGGCCACAAGCAGGGAGCTGGATGAGACATTAACAGGTGCCCAAACAAGATCCTGGTACTTGAAGGGTATTTAGCCATTGAGCCATTGCACTGGGTCTTAGGGCAGAGCAAGGAGCCAAGCAGGTTCTCATGGACAGACATCTGGGTCTGACAGGTAGATAAGCACAAGCCAGGATGGTCTGGAGGGCTCCAGCCCCTGCTGGTGGAGTGACTCTGCAGACAATACAGGACACTAAGGCTCTTATCTACTGGAGAAGCAAATGACTCCAGGGGATTCACTCCCTAAGTCAGAGAACTCCTTTTGACAAAGGGCAGGAAGGACACCTGCGGCTAGGCAGAAGGGCCTGGGTCTGGCCCGTCCTTTCACATCACAGTTTGGTTGCAAAAGTATTAACTTTCAGTTACTCTGCCTTCCAAACGAGGGAATAAATACTTAAAAGTTAAAAGCCTTTCGGAAAGGTCACTTAACCGTCCCAGTTGTGTTTCCTCAACTGTACAAATTGAAATATGTGAGTCCCGATCCTTTATGGTTGCGGATTCCTAAGCTTCAGCTGGCGGCTGGTCTACAACAGGTGTTCAATACAGGAATTTCCAGACTCTCCTGGGTCTTCCTTCATCCTTTTCTTCCAGCTCGTCACAACCCCTCGCCTGGTGGAATATCCTTCCCCTCCCCGGTCCCTCGTTACCCCCGCCCCCACGATGGGCGGTTTATCATGTAAATCTCAGCCCATATTCTTTAGCAGACCTTCATTCTAGAACCTCTAGATTCTCTTTTATTACGATTTGAGAATACTGCCTTCGATCGTCACCGCTGTGCCAGCTTGTGATCCCACACCCCCACCCCTGGCTCAGAACTTTCAAAGACACCAGACCCGGTAAGGAACCTCCGGCCGGAAGAGGCAGGCAGGCACGTTGCAGCCTGGGAATTGTAGTCCGAGCCGTTTAGATGCGTCGCGGCAAGTACATGCAATGGCAGGGCTGGACAACGCCGAGAAGAGAAAATCGCACTCACCTAGGCTGGGGATCCCACGCCGCAGCTCCAGGCACAAGATGGGAACAGCAGAGAGGATGAAAATGCCCAGCACACCGCGAGACGCCATGGCAACGGAAGCCAGACACGTGTGGGGAGTTAATCCCGCCCCTTCCGTCTACTCGCTCCTGGGAAGGTGGAATGGAACCCTTCCTGAGGGGGCGAGGTCGGGCCGACCCCAAGAGGGTCTTCAGGCATCTTGTGAGCTCAGTCTGTGGCCCTGTTTAAGTACAAGTGCCCTGCCTGTTTCACGTGATGTCCACCAGAGCGTGGGCCCCAGGCCGGAGGGGACACGGGACACCCTTGGCCTTAGGGTCCTGCGGAGTGTGTGAGGAGGGAAGGGGCTGAGGCAGCGTGCAGGGGCGGGTTGTGCTGTGAGGAGGCAGGCTGGCGGCGGTGGGCTCCCGGGTCCGGGCCGCCCAGCGCTTCGCTTTTGCTCCTCTTGCTTCCTAACCCCGTGGGCGGCCTCTGGATCCGGTGGGAAGCCGACTCAGAAGCCGGGCCTGCCCCGGCTCTCCTTACTACTCACCCGGGGAGACAGGACTCCGCCCTGTCCTTCATCGTCTGTGACCTCGTCACCATCCCGCAGCTCCCCACCTGCAATTCTGTTTGGCGACTAGAGGTCCTTGGGGCTTAGATTTACAAGTTTAAAAACTCTCTTTTCTTTTTTTTAAAGACTTATTTTTACTATTTTTTAATTGGAAAGGCGGATATACAGAGAGGAGAGACAGAGAGGAAGATCTTCCGTCCGATGATTCACTCCCCAAGTGAGCGCAACGGGCCGATGCTATGCCGATCCGAAGCCAGGAGCCTCTTGCGGGTCTCACACGCGGGTGCAGGTTCCCAAAGCTTTGGGCCGTCCTCGACTGCTTTCCCAGGCCACAGGCAGGGAGCTGGAAGGGAAGCGGGGCTGCCGGGATAGAACCGGCGTCCATATGGGATCCCGGGCGTGCAAGGCGAGGACCTTAACCATTGCGCCATCGCGCGGGGCCCATTCTCTTTTCTAACCTATTGGTCAGTGCAACCATTTTATTCTTAAGTTTAATTCAACTAACATTTTTATTGAGGCTAGCCGCCTCACCCGTGTATCTGGTAACGTCGATTCAGTTATGTGTTCAATTTGGATTTGTCTTTAAGAAACTCAGCTTGCTGGAAAAGACAGCCCTGTAAACAGGTAAATGCAGTATGAGTACGTGCCCAAGTGTGGTGATATACACAGACCGTCTGGGGGCTGCACTTATTTCTAGGTTCCTGTTGTTTGTGTACATCCCATGTCTGTGACGCATGGGAACCGGAAGTTCCACGCTTCTCACACTTGATACTATTTCCTCTTTTAAGTGTTTGTTTTTGTTTGTTTGTTTGTATTGCCTCCTCCCTGGCTCTCTGCCTTACCAGATTTTAATCTGTTGATAGAGCCAGTGAATCTCTGCCTGGAACATAGACTAGGAGATCCCGACCACTGGAGTTCTGCCGTGCGTGTTAATGCACAGGAGAGTGCCCTTTCCTGAGCCTTGTTGATTGTAGGCTCTTATCTGCAGGTGCCATGTGCCACCAAAGCCTGTGAGAATAGCCTGCCCATATAACTTCAGCCGGTTTTCTTACTGCTTTACAGGAGACTTGTACTCTGATAAAAATCATTGTAGTTTCTCAGAGCAGAAGGCTTGGGTAATATTGATAGGATTCTATAGTGTGGGTTGGAAAGAGTTAAGATAGGTTGCTTTTTTTTTCCCCCTCCACTATGGGGCTTTCACTGGGACTGGACAAAGTTCATATTATAATAGTTTGGAATTTATACACCAAACAAGGTGAAGGAATTGAAGGCAGGTTTGGCTCTCTATGGACGGAAGGAAGGATTCCCACATGGATCAGTGCAACTTCTCAGTGCTTGAGAAGAAGTATTATTGCCAAGCAACTTATTATTCAGATAAATGGATTTTTCAACAAGCTTATGAAGCTGACGACGAAGGGATGTATTGATTTACAGCCTATCTTCATGGATAATACGTTTTTGGATTAGTAAAGGATTGAGCTCTTTAAAAAACTAGAAAAAAACGTTTATTTGAAAGGCAGAGTTATACAGAGAGACAGACAGAATCTTCTATCTACTGGTTCACTTTCCAAATGGCATCACAGATTCACACCAGTGAACGCCAGGAATCGAGATTTTTTTTTTTTAAAGATTTATTTTTATTATTTTTTCATTGGAAAGGCGGATATACAGAGAGGAGGATCCTCCGTCCGATGATTCACTCCCCAAGTGAGCGCAACGGGCCGATACTATGCCGATCCAAAGCCAGGAGCCTCTTCCGGGTCCCCCACGCCGGTGCAGGTTCCCAAAGGCCTGGGCCGTCCTCGACTGCTCTCCCAGGCCACAGGCAGGGAGCTGGAAGGGAAGCGGGGCTGCCGGGATTAGAACCGGCGCCCATATGGGATCCTGGGCGTGCTAGGCGAGGACTTAACCACTTGCGCCACCGCTCCGGGCCCAGGAATCGAGATCTTCATCTGGGTTTCCTATATGGGTTCAGGGGCCCAAGGACTTGGGTCATCTTCTGGTGCTTTCTCAGGTATATTAACAGGGAGCTGGAGGGGAAGTAGAATAGTGGGACTAGAACCAGAGCCTCCATAGGATGCTGGCACAATACCAGTTACACCGCAGGCCTGGCCCCAAAGATTTGCTCTTAGTGGTGATAAGTAAGCTATGAACTAAATTTTTCTGTGTTCTTAATCAAATCTTATGAGCACCTCTTGAGTGTGAGTTATGATATCTTAAAAATCTGGAGTTTATTTTAACGCATTCTCTGAACATTTTTAAATTATTGGACAAAGTGATGCCACCTGCTTTACGTGTAAAGACAGGTGAGCCAACAGAGCTCAAACAATTATTTGAGCCAACAGAGCTGCCCTCCACAGTCTGCATTATCAGTGAGCTGGAGTTGGGAATGGAGCTGGGACTTTCACCCAGGCACTGATACGGGCTGTGGTTACACACACCTGCCCCACCAGGCTACTATTTTATGGCTACAACACCTTCCCTCCCTTTCTGTCCCTCACCACCAACCCACAAGCAACCACTTGCCTGTTCTCCATCTCCTTTCCCTTCCAATTTTACTGAGATGTAATTGACAAGATCCATCTCTTTAATTTTGTCATTTTAGACTATTATATAAGCAGAATCATACAGCATGCAATCTCTCAGGAGTGGCTTTTGTTCTCAACATGATCTCAAGACGCATACAGGCTGTTACATGTTCATTCCTTTTTATTGCTGAATAGTGTTCCTTGTTATAATTAACCATCTACCTGTGAAGGACATGTGGACTGGTTCCAGAACATGCTATTACAAATGAAGCTGCTATGAACATTTTTATACAAGTGTTTATGTGAACCTAAGTTTACATTTCCTTAGGATGAATTCTCAACAATGCAATTATTGCATCATAGTAAGCATGTGTATAGTTTTTAAGAATTTGCTCTATTTTTTCAGAGTGGTTATATCATCTTTAAAAAAAGATTTATTTTTGTTGGAAAACTAGATTTACAGAGAGGAGAGACAGAAAGCTCTCGCATCCACTGGATCAGTCCCCAATCAGCTGCAACACTTGGAGCAGAGTCAATGCAAAGTCAAGAGATAGGGGATTCTTCTAGGCCTCCCATATAGGTGCAGGGATCAAAGACTTGAATCATTCTCCACTGCTTTCCCAGATAATAAGCAGGGAGCTGGATGGGAAGTGGAGTAGCCAGGATATGAAACCAGCACCCATATGAGATGCTGGCACTTAAAGGTAGAACATTAGCGTTGAGCCATCACACTGACTCCTGTGATTATTGTTTTCCATGTTCTATCTAAAACAAAACAAACAAACAAAAAACAACCATCCATTGCTGGGCCCGCCGTGCTAGACTAGTGGCTGGAATCCTTACCTTGCACACACTGGGATCCCATATAGGTGCCAGTTCATGTTCTGGCTTCTCCACTTTTCTTCCAGTTCCCTGAGTGGCCTGGGAAAGCAGTTGAGGATGGCCCAAAGCCTTGGGACCCTCATCCGTGTGGGAGACCTGGAAGAGGATCCTTGCTCTGGCTTTGGATTGGCTCAGCTCCAGTTGTGGTTTCTGGGGAGTGAACCAGCAAGTGGAAGATCTTTCTCTCTGTCTCTCCTTTCCCTGTAAATCTGCCTTTCTAATAAAAATGAAATTAAAGAGAAAAGGTTCTGCCTCACTGCCTTAAAAAAAAAGAAAAGAAAAGAAAAAAACTTCTGTCCATCCTGAGGCCAGGATCCCATATGGGTGCTGGTTCTAATCCTGGCAGCTCCACTTCCCATCCAGCTCCCTGCTTGTGGCCTGGGAATACAGTCGAGGACGGCCCAATGCTTTGGGACCATGCACCTGTGTGGGAGACATGGAGGAGGTTCCTGGCTCCTGGCTTTGGATTGGCTCAGCTCCAGCCATTGTGGCCACTTGGGGAGTGAATTATCAGACAGAAGATCCTCCTCTCTGTGTCTCCTCCTCTCTGTATATCTGCCTCTCCAATTAAAAAAAAAAAAAAAATCAATCTTTAAAAAAAAAGACAAAAACAAAACCCCCAAACAACCACCTACCATTATTCCACAAACTGTATGTCTAGCTTTTATATTTACTATTTAAAATTCTACTTATCTTTGTAGTTTCTTCCCCTCCCCTAAATATTATAAGATAGCCACATTAAAAAAATTCACTCCCCGTAAGACTGTTGTTGGATGTATCTTGACAAAAGGATGGATTGTCTGCCATTGTCTGTACTGGCAATGTCAGGACACACTTTAACAAATGATGTATTTAAGACTGCTTATGAAGGACTATATACTATTGTAATAATATAGGAGAAATCAGCTGAGAGGATTTGGGGAGGGAGTAAGGGAAATTCATGAGCCTATGGAATTGTATCAGAAAATTAAAAATGAAATAGAAGGGAAATTTTTAAAAATAAATTTTAAAAAATTTCAGGAGACAGAAAAAAGCATATATTTCTGTTTGTTGGTTCACTCCCCCAAATGCCTTCAAGAGTTGAACACTGGCTCGTTAATATATATGGCATATGGACATCCCACATGGCAGTGGAACT